TCTCTCTCTCTCTCTCTCTCTCTTAATTTTTTTTTCTTTTTTATAAAACGATGGTCCGTTAGAAACAACCAGCAATGATTTCTATTAGTCTCTTTGGTTTTCTTTTTGGTTGTCAGTTTCTTTCATTATTTTCATTTTCATCAATTCTTCATCTGGAATTCGATAACAAAAGGAATTATAAGTAAATAACGTGTAACTTGGAAATGAAGACAAACTCTTTGATCAACAGATATTAAAAAAAAAAGCTATATTAAAGTTATATTAAGAAATAAGATTGCAAAACATCTAGTTAAGTAACTTGTCTATTTAAATCTCCTTTGTTTCAATTGACTATTGAATATGATAATTTAGAGTATCCTACTTTATTGATATCAATCACTTCACTTCCTGCAGATTTTCTGCACGTTTCAGTCCCCTATAAAACGGAACGAGATGATAAATTAAAAACAGGAATTACAAGAATTCTTTCATTAAGGCTAAGTTAAAATCGTTGCTCGAGAAGAAAAGACACCATCACCCGGATATCCATTAAAATTTCCACCTCTTAGAATTCTTCCTCTCTAGTGAATACCAACGCTAACCAAGCAACCAAAGCACTATTGTTTTATCATAAATGACCGAATTTAACCCGTAGAAAAATTCAGCGTCAAATTTACATTTTTCCTTTTACCTGTGTCTTGCTTCAGAGATGTCATAGTTGTGACCACGCTGGACACGTTCACCAGTTTAATGGCTGGTTTCACCATTTTTGGTATCCTTGGGAATTTAGCTCACGAACTGGGCACCGAGGATGTCAACAACGTCGTCCGCGGTGGAACCGGTCTTGCTTTCGTCTCATATCCAGATGCCATTGCGAAATTTACTGTTCTACCTCAGGTAAGGAATCTTTTTTTTTTTTTAAGTGGAGGAAATCTTCATAAGACACCTGAGTCTTTAAGGGAAGACCCAGGTAGTGTCAGATTTTTGATCGACTGAGACCTTCACGATGGTCGTCCTCGTTGGGAGAGCTCCGAGACCTTTTTATACACAGAGCTCTCCCATGCTGTTGTCCTAAAGGACAATGTCTTTTTTTTCGCCCAAACAGGGGATCGAACCCTGGACCCTCAGATTAAGAGTCTGAGCACGTTCAATTGCTGTGCAACCATAATTTTCATATTGAAGCGTAGAGAGTGCAATGATTTACCAAGAAAGTAAAACATTAAATCATCATCTGTTGTCTACTCAGATTCTGTTTATTTTATCACAAGCGTTTATTTTATTCGAAGCTCTGTCATTTCTCTCCATTTTTTTATCATTAGATTGTAGTTGCAAGGATAATTCCAGTTATTCCCGCCGTTTATCGATAAATTGGATTACGTAATCGAAATTGAAAATTACATTAAATTAATTGAAATCAATTGATTTTTCTTCAATAATCTTCAGTTCTTCTCGGTGCTGTTCTTCTTAATGCTCTACGTCCTCGGGATCGGAAGTGCTATCGCGTTGGCCGGTGCTCTCATCACCATTATCAGCGACCAGTTCCCAAATTTGAGGCACATATACATTGTGATCGGCACAGTTACCTTTGGATTTCTTGCTGGAATTGTTTACTGTACGCCAGTAAGTTTATTCACGTTAATAATAAATTGGCAACCTAACCGACTTATCCTTTCTTTTTTCCCAACATCAGATATTTTAATCAATACATCAATTTCTTCCTTCAATTATACATATAATTCTTACGTGTCTCTGTTTTCTTGAATTTCTCTCAGTTTGTAACAATTCTCTTGAATCTTTTTATTCTTGTGTATACAGGGTGGTCAGTTCATGCTGGAATTAGTCGATTACTATGCTGGATCGTTCGTAGTGTTCATCTTGGCTACTCTAGAGATAACCGGGATCTTCTGGGTGTACGGTTTGGAGAACTTCTTGGACGACGTGGAGTACATGTTGAAGAAGAGGCCATCGGCTTACTGGAGGATTTGCTGGGCAATCGTTGTCCCACTTTTACTGGCTGTGATCCTAATTTATACCATAATCACCCTGAGGCCCCTGACTTACAGTAACATCTCGTATCCTGACAGTGCACACGGTTTGTATTATCCTTGTTATTGTTATCATTATCCTTGTATGCTTATATTCTTATTACGTACTATATCCTTGCATTATATTTGTTGTTCCTTTTCTTGATTTAGTTATTTAGTTAAATAACAAATCCATGTTTTACACTTGATGGTAACGTCAACGATCCGACGAATATGATCCGGCTTCAGATTTTTCTTCTAATAGCTTAAAAAATGCGAGTATTTTTGTCGAAATTAGTATTGACTTACGTTTCAAATATAATTGTACTAATATTTATTTTTATCATTAATTGTATGTAAAATGACATACGTACGAAGGTTGTTCCAATTTATTGTTCTAATTCAAAGCTGTAGCTACTGTATCACTATAATTATGGAACAAACTTTTTTTCACTAATCGCAGAAGACAACAAAATATTTGCTGCACAATTACTGAATATTGAATATTTACAGAATATTGAAAGAGAAGCAGAAGTTTATCAAGTGTATCATAATTTACAGCGGCTGGATGGACACTTTGCGCGTTTGGTATACTGCAAGTACCCTTTTGGATGATTTACACGATGATGTCGAAAAGAAATTTAACCCCTGTTGAGGTTTGTACGATTGTCTTCTCATATAAAAAAAAAAAAAAGAGAAAGAAAGTGATGCAACGAATGACAAAGAATAATAATAGTAAAGAAAGTTTGAATCTCAGTTCTTCGAGACATTTCTTAGTAACAGGGGCTAACTGGCGGCCCTTGCCCCTACTTTCTTCACCGCTAGTTACCCCCTCCACTCAAATTTCAATATGGTGGAGATGCAGTGGAGGGGATAGCGATCAGGAAAGTGGGGATAAGGGCTTCAATGCTGCGAGACTCTAACTATCTCGAATTGAGATTTTAGTGAATTACTAAATTTCACAGATGATCAAATCCGCCTTCGTACCTTCGCCGGACTGGGGGCCGAAGAATCCCAAAGAACTGGCTTCATGGCGCGAGTTCAAAGAGACCAGGAGGAAACTACGAGAGAAACGCGACTGCTCGAGAATCAAACAATTCGTGTACGTGATGCTCTGCTGGGAAGATAAGCTCATCTGAACGAAGGAAATTCAAAAAAAGCACTGATACAATTCTCATCGATACCATTCTTTAGAAATTCGATACAAATCATGGAAAACTTGCTTTTACCTCCCGCAGTGTCGACGAGTCGTTAAACCCTTTCACTTTTCACATGCGAGAACAAAATTCAGTATCTTCTGAAACTTTTCAATGCATTGCAGTGAATTTCGTTTCCTCTCCATGGTGTTAGTACTGAATTGCTTGATAAGCAATCCGAGTTGTTCGCGCCTCCCCACCCCCCTCCATGAATTTCATCGAGGCAAATTTTCATTCTTTCTGAGAAACGTCGTGAAAATTTGAATTTAAAAATTAATCGTACAATACAGTACCGTGAGGATTACACTTAGACGTAGTAAAGGTTTCATCGAAAAATGCAAAGCGTGGAATTTTTCTCACATTTTTCAAAAGCTTTTAGAATAGCAAAAAGATTCATATCTGTGCCTGCCCGCGAGAGAGTTAATAAGACAGCGTGACTGGTCGTCTTAGTGCGAATCCTTTTTCGTAAAACGTGAAGCTGAAAGGGTTAAAATGACGATAATTTATAATATTTAATGAATTAAATACGCACAAAGATAGAACACCGTTTTTGGTGCTATGAACACAGTATTAAACATATACGCGTATGCTGTAACTGCATTTAGAAACTCTAGTTTATAAGCGAACGTAATTTATTAACGTTCCAACAGATTGAGTTGGAGCGAACTTTATCTGAAAAGTGAAAAATTTATATTATACGCAGTAGAACATTCTTAATAAACGATTGTTGAATTTAGTATTAGAATTGTTGAGAATTACGCAGTATGAAATTAAAGATTCTAAATGTGTATATAAAAGCATATAATATTATATATATAATATATGTATATATATATATATACGTATATAACAATGACGATTACAATATTTGTATCTTGTACCGATTAGAATTGAAATTAAATTTTGGTATAAAATTATAAATAACGTTTAACATAGTACAATCTGTTTTAATGTATTATTTTTTTAATTGTTGAAAATTGTATGTAATAATTATATGGTTAAACCTTACCTTGAGTTGGAGCAAAAAATACACGTTTCATCTTAAAAATTCACAACACAAACACAAATCTAACAGCTGCTGATTCGAATTTTTACTTGAGAACTTTTGAATGATACTTCTCGTCTAGATAATACTTTCTTCTTTACAAACGCGGTGTGCTTCGTTCCGCCATTTTAACCGCTACTTTTCAGTTAAAAATCGATCATGAGAAATATCGATTATCGTTCGAGAATCGTACGAAATGTATTGCATATTTCGCCGTTGGCGCTGCAATCTTAACCTAATTTGAATCCAATGCGCGCGCATTTCGCACGAAACGTTCACTCGGAATGAAAAATAAAAAACTCTGGTCTAAATCAAACATCTTATTAATTTAACGAACATAAATTATGAAATAAGTTACAAATTCATGTAATGAAGTAATGAAGTAAATTCTTTGTAACTAAATGTGATTTTATATATTATATTAATTTCCATTATATTTAATAGAATTTTACCTTATATAAACAAAGTGAGGGTGTAAAATGAAATCCCACTCCATCCTAGAACGAACATGTAACAAAATTTGTTCAATTTGCGAACACTGATATACTAGCGCCGTGTAACGGTGAAACGGTGGGACTAACCGCTATTGTTATCCTTGTTGCACGTTCTGTTCTCTTTGTCTCCCATGCGCGAAGTATATGTGTCCTTCTCGCACTAAGAACGAGTGGAATACTGCCGCCTGTTTGTAGTTTCAGATGCGGTACACAGGTGGCAGCACTGCCTCTAGATAAGGAATGCGCTATAGTGCGACGAGAACATAAATACATCGCCTGACAGACGATGTCTAGACTGCGATTACTGGATTGCGGACTACTTTTATACATTTATAGGAAATTTAAAGATCCGAAATCGCACAAGAAGCAATTAACACAAAGAAATGTATAAAATATTCGAAGTATGATGCTTTTCATAGTAACTGACATATAAAACAATTTCCTATGGAGATTCTGTTTTATAGGAAATTTAAAAGTGCGAAATCGCACAGAATGCAATTAACACGCGAAAGTGTATAAAATATCCGAAGTATAATGCTTTTTCTAATATCTGATGCACGAAACAATGTTCTATTTTTCAAATTATAAGTATGTATATATTTGCATAAAAATCCGCAATTTAGTAATTACCTAATGTTGATCGTTCATTCATAAATCCATATTAAGCTATAAATCATTCACAAATCAATGTTTAATCTTATTTGATACATATACACAATGTCGATCATCGTTCGTGCAACTATGCACACATACAATTACGATTAATTTATTAAATTGATCGGCCCATTGGTCTATTGCAATTCGATTAAAATTTCGTTGAACCAACGCACATGTATAAATTAGCATGTTTAACACGCTGCATTAAAATCGCAGAATGTATGTAAATTATTGGTAAACTGTATGCTCGAATTATGAACATTCGTGGTGCCTGGTATCAGAAAGCTTGACTACGCGGCATCGATGGTTCTTAGTATTCACACATAGTAAGTTTATCTCCCTGACGGTTCATCGGATGAATAATTGCCGACGATGCCCAACAAGGACAGTATAAATGAAGACCTTTGTAATTAATGAACGGCCGTGGGATCGTTGTTTCTTAAAGTGTTCTGGCTGTTGTTATCATTGTGCTCGCCAGAACAACATAACCTTTAACGAAATATGTTTCCGTCGAAGGATTTAGGAAAGTCGGATTACATCAGTTTAAATATCCAGGAGAGTGCTACATTCGCGCGAGGATCGTCACGTAGCCTTTGGAGAGTAAGCCGTCGAAATAATCACTTCCCACACTAACAGTGTGATTTTTATCATTTCTATGGAGAATTGTTAAAATAAAATAATAAAAAAAATTCTTTCCTTTTTTTCAGCAATGGAACCAGTTGTCAAGGTTTCAAAGAAATATCCTTTATTTTTTAGTCATTACAATCATACTAATTATATTTTATCTGTTACCTGGTGATAATAAGAATGGAGTTTTAGATGAAAGTGACTACAATAATATAGAGGTAGTGCAAGATACTCTTAAGTATGAGAAGGTACGTTCGCTTCAATGTAAGTAACTTACTATTGTTTAACATCCTTTGTATCTTCTTAGGCGGCAGAAGATATTGTAGTGGATAATGTAAATCAGGAGCATAAGGGAGGTGGGGAGGTCATCGAGGAACCTGAATTTCAGCCAGAAATAAATCAGGTGGATGATGATCAAATTGGAGAGCCACCTCAACCTAAGCCAAATACACTTAAATTTAATGGTAACTTCATAGCTCTGTAACATGATTGTTAAGTTTAATCATTAATAACGTTGTAATTACTTATGTTCAGGACCACAAAATAACAGACAACAAGCTGTAGTTGCAGCATTTAAACATTCGTGGAATGGGTATAAAGAATATGCTTGGGGATATGATAATGTGAAACCAATATCAAGAAAGTACTATGAATGGTTTGGCTTAGGCCTTACTATAGTCGATTCTCTTGATACTATGTATATAATGGGGTTAAATAATGGTAATACTGATGATCTAAAACGTGATAATATATTATATTGTTTATAGAATCGAGAAATAATGTTTATTATTTGTCTGCAGAATTTTTAGAAGCTAAAATGTGGGTTGAGAAAAATTTAGTATTTACTTCAAATAGAGATGTTAATTTATTTGAAGTTACAATTAGAGTGTTAGGAGGTCTATTATCGGCATATCATCTTTCTGGTGATAAAGTTTTCTTAAATAAAGCTGTAAGTTGCCTGTTCTCTTTTTTCAAAAATATATATGATGATATTTAAAGAAATTTGATTACAAAGAATTACTTGTTATAAATCACAGACAGTGTTAGGGGAATGTATGATGCCAGCGTTTTCTACTTCATCTGGTGTTCCTTATTCCGATGTAAATCTTGGTACTAAAACTGCACACGGTCCAAAATGGGGTCCTGATAGTAGTACAAGCGAAGTTACCTCCATCCAGTTGGAATTTCGCGATCTAAGTCGCAGTACAGGAGATCCTAAATTTGAGGTAACTGCGGATATGTTTTATCCATGAATACATTATTATTTGCATTATATGTAGAAAAGTACGCAATTGTTATCCTTCAGGAAGCAGTAGCAAAAGTTTCGGAACATGTGCACCAGTTAGAAAAATACGATGGTTTAGTGCCCATTTTCATTAATGCTAATACTGGACAATTTAGAGATCATGCAACAATTACGCTTGGCGCACGTGGTGATAGTTATTACGAGTATTTGTTGAAACAGTGGCTTCAAACTGGGAAGACAATTAATTAGTTAGTATCTCATCATCTTTGTTCATTGGAAACTTGTTCCTCTGCCCTTGAATATTATTCATGAATTTATGATAATCATTTAAATTTATAAATGCTTTTAGCCTACGAGATGATTATCTGTTAGGTATTGCTGGAACTCAAAAACATTTAGTAAAACATACAGCCATTAATAAGTATCTTTTCATAGCAGAACTAGTTGGAGCAAACAAAGAAATAACGCCAAAAATGGTAAATTCCGAAATAAAAGCATTTATGATAACTTAATGTCATGTTATTTAATTACTATATTTATAGTATAATTACTATATTTATAGGATCATCTTACTTGTTACTTGGGAGGTACATTAGCTTTAGGAGTACATCATGGGCTACCATCTGATCACATGAATTTAGCTAATGAAATTGTTAAGACATGTTATCAAACGTATGCAATTCAGCCTACGTTCCTCGCTCCAGAAATCACTTACTTCAATATTCAGGTAATTATGGTAATTGTCAACTTGAATAAAGATTATTACAAGGATGGAAGGATACAGCGGTATTATTAATTTCAGAGTACAAATGGAGAGAAATCAATGGATATGTATGTAAAGATGAATGATGCTCATAACTTGCTCAGACCAGAGTTTATTGAAAGTCTTTTCTACATGTGGTATTTTACTGGAAATAAGACATTCCAAGACTGGGGATGGCAAATATTTCAAGTAACTATCTAAAAAAAATTTTCTATGGAACATGCATACTTTTATTTTATTGTATTTAAACATATATATATATATATATATATAATTTAACAGGCCTTTGAAAACTATACAAAAGTGGAAAAGGGGTACACCAGCATTGGCAATGTGAGGATTGTTTATAATACGCCACAAAAAGATATGACAGAAAGTTTTTGGTTTGCTGAAACTTTAAAATATTTGTACTTGTTGTTCGATGACACGAGACAATTAGTAGATTTGGACAGATGGATATTCAATTCCGAAGGACATCCATTACCCATGTACGAATCATAATCATAATCAAATCTGATCACAAAATTTCATGTATAAATTTGCACTGTTAAAGAAATCTTAACTACCTTTTGAGGCCAGTGAATAGATATCCTAATGTCATACGCAAATAAGAAATTAGTCAAATTAATGTACTTTGAAGTACGAAATAGATGTGCATTTTAGGCTAATAATCTTCCAGCAATAGTTCTCAAACATTACACTTTCGCAAAATCATTTTTCATGCGTTATTCTAGGAGAAGAAAAGCACAGAAATTATGCATTTGCTAGCGGTTAACAATTTATACTCAATTTTTTACTCATTTTCCAATTCAAATGTGTATTTCGAATTAATTACTATTTCATGACAAGTAACTTACTAATAAAAATAATATAGAATATATTCCAAATCACACTTTTGAACAGTGTATAAGAATTGTTGAGTACAATATTTAAAAAAAAAGCTGAAAATTTTTCTTAGCCTAATATACCTCTTTTTTTTAAATATGTTTTAAGACAAAACATACTTACAAAATCATTTAACTGCAACATTGTAATGCAAATTTCTTACATGATGTAATTAAAAAAAAAAGGAAAAAAGATTTTATTACAATATTTGATGAAAAAAGAATTTTAATATTGCAATCACAATTCTATAAGGAAAGTTACTTATATTTTATTCTTTAAAATCCTAGTCAAATCAAATTCTTTCTTTTTCTTCTATTTTCCTTCTCTTTTATTTTCCTTTTTTTTTGTTGTTAACAAATGTGCAATATTCTATTCCTTATATATTGTAATATTTAGTTATTCAAATTCAAATTTATTCATAAATAAACATGATATTTGAAAACAAATTAATTTATTATCAATTGATATAACTCAATTGTTTGAAATATTCTTTCATTTAGAATTTATTGTAGAATTATGTCTACAATAAAACTGTCTGTACTACATATATATAGTACAGACAGTCTTATTTTATATATATATATTGAAATTTATATATATATATTGAAATTTGAATTATTATTAAAAATTTATAATAATCTTAACTCATTCTTTTCATCATAATTTAAGGCTTATTTATTGCACATTTTGTATATAAAATATTAACAAAAAGGTTTACATGACTATTATAGATATTATTAGAATAAACAAGAGCAATCAATAAATTAAAATATTAAGAGATATATCATAGAAATATATCACAAATATAGTTGCTTCATTTGTAAACATTTTTGAAATTGTTCTAAACTATCATTTAGTCAAGATAATATTGTAGATTTTACTATGTATTATCTCTCAAAACAATTACTTTATATTAAAGGTAGTAATTTTACTTAAATTATAGAAATATAAAATATAAATTCATATGTATACTTGTGTAGTTTTTGAAATGTATTATGTAAACTAGATCAATTTTATTAATGAATCAGTTTTACTTGTATATAGAATGTTATGTAAACGTATAAAAATATAGTACTCTCAAGAGATTTTTTTGATAAAAATAAAGTTTTCATTTTTCCATCTAAAAATTTGTTTTAACTATTAGAAATAATAAGTTATGAACTTAACAAAAAATGATTTTTGAACATACATATCTGTTTATGCATTATAATAATTTAAATAACTTTAATGTTACTGTAATTTCTGCTTGATAAAATTGTTGAAAAGTAGTGAATATAAGTTTTAACCTTCTTTTATATATGAATATCTGTTTGACGGCTTCATTTTCCAAGTGTACCATGAATTTTACATTTACATTTTGTATCTTTAATTATATTGTACAATTTAACATTTGTTTAATATTTCAACAAGCGTAATTCATTAGGAAAAATATAAATAATAATAATAAAAATTAACTTAGTCAGTTAAATATGTTACACCATTATGAATTATCAAATTGCACTTTGTGTTACTTTTTATTATTTAAGTATATTCTACCTGCAAGACAATCGATGCTACGTATTCATATTTTTCGTAATATTTTATAAATTTTAATGTCATTAAAAAGTAAACTATATGAGTGTACATTTCCTATATAAAATGCAATTATAATTTATCAAAAAATTTTGCGATTGCGGAGTAATTTCTATAATGTCTTTGTAATTCTTATGATGTATTAATAAAATATAATTTATTATTATGAGAAGTAGAATTCAAAAATTTTACAATAATCAATTCTTTTACATATACATTTCTGCTTTTGTCAATTGTTTATAAATACAACAAGTTTGTATAAATATGAGTTTCATAAACTCTTTTCAATTGACATGGATTGTAAGGTCATGGTAGTGTCTTTCATTTAATATCATTTTGATATATATTTACAAAATATGTAATTTTTATTAATTTATATCCAAAATAATTTGATCATATAGTTCTGACTTACATGAAGAGAGTAAGAATGTATTAAATTTTTTTATACTTATTTGTAATTTTTTATATTGTAACTTTTATGTACAATTTGCTTCTTACTTAATACCTTAAGACTTTATGTGTGAATGTAAAATATTATTTTATAGGATATTTCTTTAAGTAAATTCTTTCTTTTTTTTCTATAATGAAGTTTTAACATTTAAATAAATTTACGGCACTTAAGCAGTCTTTAAGGATATTTAGCATTATATCTTTTCATTCCTTTTAATTTCGTGATTATATAACATGTATATAAGTAACAGACTTGTACATACCAATATTATTTTTTTATATAGCCTATCTTTGTAGAAGAAAACACTACAAATTAAGAATCCATTTGACGAACTATTATCTTTTGATGCTTTGAAATAATATACTGAAGCACTTAAAAACTAATATATCACTATGTAAAAATAGGAATGCATGGATAGCCATCATGCAAAACTTTAAGAATAATTAAATTTGTTACTTTCCATAGAAAATGATAACCAGACAATATCTCTTTAAGATTTACAAAATTAAATTTGATTAAAAGTATAATTCTTACAAATTGGAATGAAATGTTAACAGTCTATGAAATGTCAGTGATTAGAATTGTTATAATTGTGCGCAAAACATGCTATCACAAACTTTCCAGATTTAATATATATCTAAAATATAAGATTCAAATTACTTTCATCTCCAAATTTCATACAATAAATAATTATAAAAATATCGTATTTTTCGAGTATCTTATCAAAAGTTTATCGAAATATATATTCCTAATATACATATATCTCAGATCTTTCTTCCTTTTTTTTTAAATATATAGAAAATTCGAGATGAGCATAGAATATTGTAAATATAGTTGTAAACATTTAATCTTTTTTTTTCTCTCTTATGTAAATTGATCATTAAACTGACAGCCAAAATTATTGGAATTCCATTGATATTCAATAATTCGACGGAAACAATTGAAATTCTTCTCGTAATCATGTTAAATCGTGAAACAAATATAAATAATCGGTTCGACACGAGGCTGTTAAAATATTACACACTCACAGCACTGCTGCGTGAAGTATATACAATCTACAACGCAGGAGTCGGTTTCAGGCTGAGTGACTGGTTTAGTTGCCTCCAAGTCAATCCCATTCCTCTCGATTTTCGGCTGTGGTTCAGGCACTGGCAGCACCGTCTGCGTGATCGGCACTGCATTCTCAATCACCTCGGTATCGGTGTTAGCGTTCAATTTATTTGTCACCGGAGTAGTAGGTGTGGTCGGTGTGATTTTACCAGAACATGCTTCATCTGGTATGTCGTAGTCTACCAAAGGTATAGAAGTCTGCAGCGGTGGGGGTGAATCGTTCGACATGATGACACTGTGAAACGAAACTTTCTTCAGATTCAGATTCAGATTCAGATTCAGATTCAGATTTAGATTCTTTTCGATTTCTATTTTAACATAGCTAACTCTCTCGCTTTGATCCTAGAATAACACATTTTTCTTTAACCTCTTAACTGGTTAAGGCGAAATATTTCGTCATACCAGGAAGATAACTGCATGACGACATTTTTCGTCGTGAAAATTTTAAAAGTAATGTGTGATAATATTTTATTTAAGGAATTTATATATTTGCTTAATATGTCATAAAATATTTTGTCAAAATAAATAGTCAACGATTTTCTTTTCTTTTATTACTTTAGGCGTAATAATATAACTTCTCACTGCGAAGGAAAAAAATCCTCATTGTGAAACAAGTTATTTTTATGTGAATCAAAGTTAATTCCCCTGTTAAGAGGTTTTTACTACCACTACACATTCACTCAGGTGTCTTTTATAGATTCATTGTGTGATTTTCGTGTGATCGACTTTAAATACGTAAAAAATCTGGAAAATCTTTACTGAAATACGTGTAGTTTAAGATTCAAGTGCAAAATATTAAAAAGAACTTTTTCGTTTGTAATTATTTTGCAACTCAGTGGCCAAAGTCAGGTTAAACATCTTCCTTAGGTTATGATCTTACGTTGGTACCTTAGGTCATGAGAAACACCAACGTGCAATTCCAAGATTGCTTCAAATAAAATGTTCTAAAATTTGGAAGTGATTATTCTAGTGTAAGAAATTGTATTGCATAAAATGCGAGATTTACGAGTTTTGATGAATTTTACAATTGATGAACATTGTTGGTTGCGGAAAACGATACTTGGCATATAGGATATAAAAGCTAGCAGGTGTAATATTTGTAAAAAGCTGCATGGAAGAACTCGAAAGGTATATTATCATGCATTAACGATTTTCATAAGTTAAATTCAAGTAAGATTTCATAAGTTAAATTCACGTAAGACATCGATCCGTTGATCTGGTCAACTAGTGCCTCTATTATTCAAACTTGTCACGCAGTTGACCCTGGTCTTTTTACTATTCAGCTCAAGTTAGTCTTGCTCGTGCTTATCGCAATGCACCAAAAAAATCTTAACTCGACGTTGAATGCTTGCTTCCCGTAATGAATCGTATGGTTTTTGTTCTTTATTTATCTTGTGATTTACTGTGACAACACAGTTACTACTATATACACATCTTGACATAATACATACACAAACCTAGCACTGTGTGATTATTGGAATTTGCTCGTTCGAACACAAAAATATTTATGAACGACGACAATATAGACGAGTACAACATCTTTTCATCGGACGGGTGGCCCCTACAAAGGGGTTTCCATTTTTTTTTCTCCCCTCCCCCCCATCTCTTCTATCTATTTAAGTATTTGATAGAAAGTGTAAAGAAGAAGACGTACCACCTAGCTCTCATACACGGATGCATTCTACTCTTTTCCTCGGACGTCAGAGTCGAATAAAAGGATATTTGCTTGGCCATTTTGCGGGTATTTCGTGGATTTCGGCCGATTAGAATCATGCCATTTCACGTAAGAATTTCTCGCCGCCTCGGGAATCTGTCTTTTCTTTTCCATCAACGTAGCGAGCAAAGCGTCGCGTCTCTCCTCCTGTTTTATATATCAAGTTTCACATGTCACTGATCACACTTTCGGTTATCGATTTCTCGATCCGATCAAAGTCAAATGCAATTTTACATGCCGCGATTAAACGCGCGATATTTGAACGTCGCGACAAGAGGAACAACTGAACGAACAAGAAAATATAACATTCAAAGGAGTTCCCGGGCTTTACTTTTGTTATTTCGATCTACAAAATAAAAAGAAATTATTTCCTTCATAAGAACCTTCGAGAAAGAAACGGCGACAAATATTTGCAAATATTTGCAACTAATCGAGGCCGGTAATAGCGGTAACAGCTTCTACTGATGAACTGCATGCATTGAAACGTATTTGGTTATAATGAAACGACCGAGCTTTGTACATGTACCAAACACGATAATTTTCACACACAAAAGAAGCACGAAATTGTAAGTTTCGTAATCGAAATTGTTAGACCGCTCGACAATGAATTCTGATCTACATTAAACGAAAAATAAAGAATTAAAAGAGATTACGTTCATGCACACGTGAGATTACATGTTCCAACTGGTAACATTTACACACGTTTGAGAATTTACAAGAGCAAAGTACACTTCTACAAGAAAAAATTTAAAAGAAGACAGACATAAAAAGACGTTACATCACGAAATAAAAACTCATTAAAACGGACAAATAACAGAAGTACAAATTCATTAGCATAGTCAAGACAATCTTGCTGTATCTCAGTTGATCGTTACTTTCTCAGTTGCGTGTAGAAACAATCGACAAAAATCCAATTCTACTTACGATAGCTCGATAACATCGATAGTTATCTCGATACTCGAACCACTATTGTTCGTTAACCGGAACGAGAGTTCATTATTAGCATGATTTCTTTACATAAGATTCTAAGAACGAAACTGAAAGAAGTGAGAAATAGAGGAATTATAAAAAAAAAAGAAGAAAAAAGAAACACTTCAGTTACAAACTAATAAGAAGTAAACTATTTTTAAGCTCTAATTGAACTGCTACAATATCGAGAATTACACAGCAAATTATTGTGAACCTTCTTTTCTTCCCCTCACTAGCATCCTATGCAAGAGATTGATGTAATCAAAGACAATAGAGATCAAAAGAGGAGAATTAGTTTATCTTTGCAAAAGAAAGTCATTCATAAATAACACCAAATTCAAGATCGCAAATAACACGTATTCAAGATCAGTCAGTGGCGCAAGCGAAAAGTGCACCTGTATCATTTGCATGGATAAAGTTACTAGAATTTTATCAATACACTATATGTGTGTGTGTGTGTATTTAAAAAATTATTTGTTATGAATAATAAAAATACACTGCTCGGGTACACGAACGTGTCACGTTTGAGAATCCACGTTGAACTGCTCGATCTTTCTCCTAATACTGTCCCATCCCGCGTGTACACAATACACTTAAATGGTCGGAATTCTGCTTCGTTAAGCGGCCATTTCTATCCCCACTATTTCTCGAAGCATCTGATGTTATACATATATAGTATACAAGTACGTATACAAGTATGTCAGATATCGATAGATCAGTGTTGTTCAATCAAAAAATAAAAAAGAAAGATACTCGATACTTCGATTCTCGAGATATGCATCCCTCGATCGAACCAGTTAAAATCCAACTTGTGGCCAGTTAGCGAAGCAGTACCGTATGTGTCGGATATAAAAGTTTGCATTGAACTTTGTATCACGCTTATTACGCTATTAAAAGAAACAAGGAAACGTACTTTCTTTTGCAGAATTTCTATTACATTCACATTTAAGCAGAATGGTGAAAAAATTGTTGGATAAACAAAATCTTTGTCACAAATAGTATTTCAAATTTAAAGAGCACACGAGAACTTTTACGTCTGGCTGTACTTTTCGTGTGGACCGCAGGACCGTATTCTCCAACGAAAATCACCCCCACCACTTTTAACCTATGGCTGTAAGCACGATCCACGTATAGAAATTCAAGGAAACAACGCGCGTAACAGAATGTATAATTCCTCTCCAATAATTAACATATCATAATTAACAAATCAGATAATAATGTATCATAGAGTATATTACGTTCGTTTGAGTATTTTCAAATAAAATTCCCCGATACGTGATACGGCACAACAATATCTGTAAAGTAAAAGGATCTTATTGGGGACAACTTAAAAAGAATGTCCGCTGAATGAAAGTTTCACAAAACCGCAGGCGGGATTAGTATCACTTTTCAGAAATTACGTAAGCGAAAAATTTATTATTAGAATTGTGGAAATGTAAGGTATAAACAACGAAATTATTCGGATTTCAAATATTGGTCACACAGTTGGAACTAATTATTTCTTGCGATACGTGTTTACGTACGAAGGCTACGCAGCGCCCCATTATATGTGATAAAGAAAAAAATTATTTCCAAGTCGAACTGCACTGACTATGAGTATATTATTGAATTCAATAGAATAGAATTTTCATGATTGCAATTGAAAGCCACTTATCTTGTTGCTGTTGCGAAGGGCAACTCACTTACCGATTTCTCTACGATTTATTAAAGAAGTGGATACAAGTGGATACTACTCTAGATAGAGAAGTGGATACAAGTGGATACTAGTTTTCTAAAAATTATCTTCTACAAATGATAATGTAAGATCGACCAAAATTATCCTTAAAAATATAGAATTCAGATTTCTGGAATTTCTCAGAGGAGAACAAAGCGATTATCTAATAAAGTCGACAAATAAATGAGAAAATGCAGGGAAGTTTCAAAATCGATCGGAGAAGCAAAGGAACGAGAGAAACAGAGAGTCGAGATCGGCTCTGGGAGAGAACGACAAAGGGTGAGAAAAGAAATGCTTAACCTCGAAATCTGGCGGATCGGCTTTTGCTGAACTTACTCGTAAGAGCCACGCTGTGGCAACGGATTCTTAAAACGCATAACTTCGTGATCAACGAGACAATTATCGGAACGTATTTGACTTGATTACAGTTGTTTACATTCACAAATGACGGTACGCAAGGCCGAAATTACGTAGCATCTCAATTTCGACGAACGACGAGCACGCAGCACACGAAAGACTGGCAAGAGACAAGCGAAGCACCATACGAGCTAAAGGGGGAGCAGGTGAGGTAGAGACGAAGCTTGCCGGGTGAACGGCGCACAGTGGGGTATTTGCACTGAAATATTGAACGAGATTATTTCATATTAATTATCAATTATGTTATGTCATTTCAATAGAGATCAAACGATGTAGCATCGCACATCATTCCTAGCGTCGTCGATTTATTTCGCGGAAGAGTTATGCGATGCAACTGCTAACTTTCAAAGTATCGCGTTACATTGAAAAACTCGTTAACATGCACGATTTTGGAAAAAATTTCGCCAACGAGGCGAATTTGAAAAAGATTAACTAGCAATAAATTACTAGTGATAATTGCCAACTGGCTTTCGATTCTCTACGAAAATTTCTATGAATTTCCATTTGAGATGAACATTCTAGCATTTGTCGATAATTTTAAGCAAAAAAATTATCTATTTATTTCATTAATAGCGCACTAAGAAAAGTTGTGAGATTGTTGCCTCGTGCGTCATGCACGATTGGACGAGTATCTAATTATCAAGGATGATATCTAATTATTACGTAATGGGAATATAATAATTTTATTAGAAGGTTATTTTCAACGCAAAACATTATGACATAGTAATGGGCGCATATGTCGCGAAGCAAACTTTTATCTACTACTATCTAACATATATTAGATTCTTTGTTCTCTTTCTCAAAATATTTCTTCATTTCTTATACACTGTATTGCAATGTAAAATTTTTTAAAGTAATATATCAATATAATTTAACGATTAAAAATATTATATTATAGACACAATTCAAAATGCAAACGTAAATTGAATACGTATTGGTCGAAACTAATGTACCCTTCTCCCCTTGTCACTATATTCCCACTGCTTAATATATTAAGGACCGGATGTATTTTTACCATCGTTAATTTTTTTTCTCATGTGTCGTTATGAAGTTCCTTGTTAACATTATACGAAACTTACTAGAAAAATATTAAAAGCTACTGAAAATAATTATTTACAGTAATAACATCCTGATCTTTTTTTCTCTTTCTATCTCTCTCCCCACAGAATACTGTTATAATTTAAAGTGAAGATACTTTTGGATTTTTACATAAGCAGAGATAACATATCAATAACATATCAATTTTATCGTACTTTGCAAATATTGTAATGTATTGCGTATAATATCATTAACTTTTCTGCTGATACATAATGAGATTTCGCCGAGGGACGTTCTCTTCAGTTAGTCTCATTATATCTTTTAATGTATAAGCAAGCCTACGTAAAACCGGTTTTAAAGTAGAATGGACACAGAAAAAAATGAAACCTCTCGTGTCGATAGTTTTTGAAAAAAATTTACTAGAAATTTACTAATTCCAATCTTGTACAATATAAATACGTACGATTAAATAATATAATTATTCAATATATCGTATCGCCAAGAAGTTTTCAAGAAATACTTTTAAAAACTGTTTTTCAACGTACATTTAAAAATGAACATAAAATGTTCATAGATACTTAAATATGTATTAGTTTTGATCCAATATATATCATAAAATCTGATTTTTCTTCATTTCCATGAAAAATAGAAATTGCATATGTTTATATCTGAAAACGAATGTTATGTTTGAAAGTATAGTATTAACACGTGTTACTGACACACACACATGCATGCTTATTTCTTTTACCTTCAAAGATGACAGATTAAATTACATCTTTACCTTCGTGGAAGTTACTCGACACCACAAAGCGTTTGACACGAGATATTAAGATTCGATGAAAAGAGACAGAATGTTAAACACTGATTGGTACGAATTTCTCCATGTACGTTATATCAATATTACTAACAAGAGAGCAATTATCTAATATCAATAAATTAGAAGAGTCACTATTTTGACTCGTGCAAATTAAAATTTTTACAATGCCAATGTTAGCACTTTATGTAATACCATACTTTGAATATTTTTTATATTATCTCGGTTTTTTGTACATTAGATTAAATAAATCTTGAGCAATCTCATATTAGTAGATTAGAGATTAACGCACACAACTATGTACATGAATATTAGTTTCAATTATTATTTGCATTTACGTACAGAAAACTTGTTTCTCAGAGATTGAGAGAGTAAAGAAACATATTCGTCAGATAGAATGTCTTCAAATCCAACGTAGTGCATTTCATAAAAATTCGAGATATTTCATAAAATCACTGTTCAAGATGAACGTAATTACACAAATACTCTAAGTGCAAGTTTAAAGAAACTCGGCAGCAGCCTATTTTGACGACGATTATGCAAGTGTTAACGACACGATGAAGTTCTAGTATCGCAAGGAAAATAAAGAGATTAGAATGCTATTCGATTATTTGTTTCAAGAATGGAAAATTTTACCTGTCAGATGTGCAAGGAATTTCTTCCGCGTAAACATCAGCACGTGTAGTTATCGTCCCGTTTCTCATCGTATCGTAGTTGTCGCATGACAAGAAAGGAAGTCGACGTTCAATTTTGAAAATTTGATGGCTCAAGGATTTCTCATGGCACAATTCATCTCATGATATCATCTCGTCGCTTTGGGCTCATTAAATCATTCGATTTTCACTATACTCTCGACGGTTCGTCTCGCGTACGTTCGTCATTACCCTTGTCCTTAGTATTTTCTCATTGTCACATCTTTTTCCCACTTGGAGTATGTCTTATCATAGATGTATATTTCGCTTCAAATGTCAAGTCACGTATAAAATATAAATTGTTAGAGATTTGTGAATTGTACTTTGACCAAAGAGGATGTATCTCAACACTTCGAACGAAACGAACGAAATATTTTTGTTACGAAGGTTAAAAATTACTTTGCGGTTGCATACTCTGAAGTACCTAACTGCTGCGCGATGACAATGCACGAAATGACTCTAACCTCTCTTTACATTTCAGTAGTTCAAGACCGACTGATGGAACACGTTCCGTCTTGCCAAAGAGCCATCATGCACAATTGGTATAAAAGAGTAGAAACATGATTGACTATCTAGCTTCACGCGATAAGGTATTAATTAACGATATTTTTTTTTTTTACCTTGCGAAACAAAACATTTCGAAGAAAAAAGCTAAAGAGTAATGTGAAGCAAGAGAATGAATTCTGACTAATTGAGTATGGAGATTTAAATTTGAAAATATCCTTAAAGAGATCATTCTGTCAATCAACAAGTAGATGTTCTCTACAAGTAAATGTTTTTTATTTCTGAAACAAAGAGTTTGTTACACAAACTTTTTGGAATACGTTTAAAATAATAAATTTATAATAAAATTTCACTTGAACCTACTTTAGTTCTAAAATCAGTATGTTTCTATATCATTTTTATTTCAACGTAATATAGTTAACCTCTTGAAACTGTATTCAGAAACCAACAGTCATTTAGTTATATTTAGTCCTCATTTAGTTATATTTAGTCCTCTTAACGTTTAAATTTCAATTTTTTCATGAAATAATTCGCAAAAATCGTCAAAAAAAATGATGTTACAACTACTACGCATGTGTACAAAGCATTGCAAGACCGACTGATGGAAAGCGTTATCCTTTCTTGTGATTTATATCGTTTGTGGTTAAGAAACCGCTTTCATTTACGTCTTTTGATTGGAATCAAATTTTATAACTTGCGTGATATCTCGCCTGTTTTTTTTGCGTTTCGATCATTATTATTAGCAATACAGCATCGTGGTAAAGAAGAGGGAAAGAACTAAGAAAAAGTTAAACATGGGACGTTATAGAAGGTAAGCCATATATATGTGTGTGTAGATAGATGAAAATATATGTTATCAATATGTTCGATGTTTGGCGTTAATATCGTGTATTTGAAACGAATGCAACTGAACTGCGACTATTTGTTCCGTGAAACAAAACAGAATTACGTTCAGGATAAAAAAGTGAGAAACAGAAAATAATTAACGAGAAATTCTATGGCATTTGTCACATATCTATGACAATTATAACCTTCCGCGTGTTTTCAGTACTTGGTTTCGGAAACATTTAGTAGTTTGTATGTATACGAAATTTCAAGCAATTTGAATTTCAATGAAATGAACAGTAAGATTGAAAATTTTCGTCATAGATTTTTTTATACTATTTTGGAAAGAGTATATAAATTAAATGAGAATTAAAAATTAATAAAAAATATTTGTACTTTTACTTTTGTAAGTTAGTACAAATTTTGCTTGAAAGATAAATGAGGACAAGGCAGTAAGATTTATATTTCAATATTAATAATCTTTGTATATTTCATTTTTCAGTCGTAGTCGTGATAGGGACAGGAGACGTAGATCACGCAGTAGGTCTCGTAGCAGATCACCTAGAGACAGAAGGAATTGGGGTGGCAGCGGAGGTAGAGATCGAGGTGGTGGCAGAAACAGTCGAGGCCAACCTGGTGCAAATTTAAGAAAACCTAGATGGGATTTAAGTCGATTAGAACCTTTCAAAAAAGATTTTTATGTACCACATGAAGCAGTTCAGAATCGAGATCTACGTATAGTTGAACAATATAGAAGTGAAAAAGAAATCACTCTTAAAGGAAAAAATATACCTAATCCTGTATTCACATTCGAAGAGACAGGTTTTCCGGACTATGTCCTAAAGGAAATTAAGTAAGTGTCTCTCAGATGACAATTTTGTTTAGGATAAGAGCGCTTCAAGTATATTAGTAGTAAAATGCAATTATTTTACAATGGTGATGTTAGAATTTATTTCTTAAGTTTAGAAGTATCCAGTATGTGATGACATGTTGTTCATTGTCAAGAATACTATCAGAACTTAAAACTTGCTTAATCTGGAAACTTTACTTTCATCAGATCAGAAGTAAGAACGAAGCTGAAATTGTTAGGATTTCAAGTTAATAAGAAAAAAAGTAATAAAGAATTAAAATTGATTAAAATATCTCGAATAGCTGCTGAAAATTTTGAATTATGATGCTATATATTACAGAATGTGATCTATATTGATATAATAGATTGTAATAAAACATATTGTTATTTATAATTTTCAGGCGACAAGGTTTTACTGAACCGACATCAATACAAGCACAGGGATGGCCAATTGCTTTAAGCGGTAGGGACATGGTTGGAATTGCATCGACAGGTTCTGGAAAAACATTGTCTTACATACTCCCAGCAATCGTTCACATTAATAGCCAGCCTAAGTTAGGTCGAAAAGATGGACCTATTGCTTTAGTACTAGCGCCAACGCGAGAACTTGCGCAACAAATTCAGCAAGTTGCCGATGATTTTGGTCATTCCTCTGGTATTAGAAATACTTGTCTATATGGTGGAGCACCAAAAGGTGCACAGGCTAGAGATTTAGATGGTGGTGTGGAAATCGTTATAGCTACACCTGGTAGACTATTGGATTTCCTTGAATCAGGACGTACAAATCTAAAAAGATGTACTTATTTAGTTTTGGATGAAGCAGATAGAATGTTAGATATGGGATTCGAGCCACAAATTCGAAAAATCATAGAGCAAATTAGACCAGATAGACAAACATTAATGTGGTCCGCTACATGGCCCAAAGAAGTAAAAAATTTAGCTGAAGATTTTCTGAAAGATTATGCTCAAATTAATGTTGGGTCTCTGCAATTAGCCGCAAATCATAATATTTTACAAATCATTGATGTTTGTCAAGATTACGAAAAAGAAAATAAGTAAGGGATTAAGTTTGTAGAGAAAGTTGTCGAAAAATTTGATAACATCTTATCATCAATTTAATTATAGATTAAGCACACTTTTGAAAGAAATAATGGCGGAAAGTGAAAACAAAACAATAGTATTTATTGAAACAAAACGCAGAGTGGATGAAATAACAAGAAAAATGAAGAGAGATGGCTGGCCAGCTGTTTGCATACATGGTGACAAGACACAACAAGAAAGGGATTGGGTTTTACAAGGTAAAAATTGTAAATTATACATTGATAAATGTTTTAAAAAATAGTTGATACTAATTTTTCTGTTTCAATTTTTTAGATTTTAGATCAGGAAAAGCGCCAATACTTGTCGCAACAGATGTTGCTGCTCGAGGTCTTGGTAAGTAAACAATTGTTATTATGACGTAATAAAATATCAAATGTCATTGATCATTTTCCTTTGATATGGAGAATGAATCACATTTCTACCATGAGCTTAATTATTGCAGTATAGAGATATCTTGTTCTGATATAACATTAAAATTATAGTTACCGTAAATAAAGAATATGATAAATTTGTTAACTGGATCTAAAAAAAATTATTCTACAAGAAATTAGAATTTACTTTTTAATATACTTTTCACTTGTCTCATGTATATGATAATCAGAACAAGGTTTCATTTGATTTGTATTTGTACCACTTTATGATTGGAAACAAGATAATTTTTCTTACTAAATTATTGATAATGTAAACTATATAAATTTTTCAAAATTTTAAATATCAAGAAATTTTATCATTGAATATAAATAAATATATATATAGTTCTAAATGCATAACGTGGTTCATTCAGCATTTCTAATCTTTGTGTTTATTTGCTTCCTCACTTTTTGCTAAAGGTAATAATTTTTAAATAATACATGAGAATGGTCGTAAAGATAAGTTGAAATTGAAAAATGTACTCGGCAAGCTCTTGATTTATTAAAGGTACAGAAGCAATTGATTTAGTTACAGAGAAAACATGAATTCTAAAAGTCAAAAACAAATAATTGCACAGTTCCTAGCTGGAGACATAAAGGTGTTGCTTTCTCAAAGAATTGCATAACTTCATAAAGTTCTGATGCACCATTTTACGTTGCTACATTTACAATGTAATTACTATTTGAACTTAGGGTTAATCTGACCACATTATTCTACGCTTGCCGAAAGTCACAGATGAACAAAATAGAAGTTTAGAGATAGATATTCTTTCCCATAAAATATCGCCTTCATTGAGATTATCAAAGTTCTGTTAATGAGATAATTAATGACAAAAAGAAATAGAATAGAAAAAAAAAAGACTAGAAAACAAAAAGAAATACTGTAATACAAAATTCATATTGAACACAGGAAAATAATGAGATAAACATGTACCTAACGCGGTTGGATCTTTGTTTGTATTGCAGAGGCACATTGCGCGCAGACCCACGCCGGGTAATGCAAAGCAAATTGGGGGTGCCCGCCGCGTGTTTGTTCGGTGGTGCACTGGTTTGCATTGTCTGCGCTGGCTGCGACGCGTGCCTCTATACGTCAATTCCGTGAAAGGCCAGTCCGGGCCAAATCGGGGTCTACTTTACCTCCTACATACTGGATATCAGTTCTACGCTACGCTGTACGCCATCTGGGCTGGCCAAGTCGTTGTTGCCAGAATAGAATCCCCTGCGCTGGCCGCTCAAGCTAATCAGACCCAACAACGGTCCATTGAGGCGGTGGCATGGTAGCTGATGCCAGAGCCTCTAAGTGTGCCCTGTAGCAACAGAATGGCGGAGGCTGTAGCTGGAGCGAGCGCAAACAGCCAGGCCCTGCCCGTACGTTGCTAGCGACACTCACCCACTGCCTAATTTTAGTATAACAGTAATCTTAAATTAATTGCTATATATATATAGCTGTATAAACCGCCCAGAAAAAAAGTAATTTAACTGTATAACATTCTCCTTCAATGAAATCCAAGATAATTTTTTATTAAAGGAAAATCTCGCTCGATACGAAAATGTTGTGTAATTGTTAATCTAGAAGGTATCTAATTATGTATATGATTGAACTGAAAATTGTAATAGTACTTGAATTATTTACCTATCTGAAAGTTTGTCATAAGTTTGAAGTAATTCCAATATCTCCTTCGTTAAGAATTGCCCAACATTTCATTTAATCAAAAATGTCTTGATTTCCTAAGAAAAGTGTAGTACAGTTCAAATATATTTTCCTGGGGGTCTGAATATGTACACTTTTTGCATATACATATGTAACAAAATGTTTTGTAAAATGCGACGTACTGGAGCATATGAGAAATTCTTGAATCAAAAAGAAGTTAATTCTTGATATCTCTTTGTGATCATCATTTACCAACTTTATATACAGTACAATAAAATTTTCAGAAATTATTTTATACTTTAAATTATCTTTTATACATAA